TCCAAAGTTACAGGGGGATTATCATCGAAGGACTGTCAGTAGGTAAAACTCTCAAGATAGATGAATTGCTTCAAGATGGTGTACATGGGAGTGACATTGGCGACACTACCATCAAGAAACAGGGTTGTGATTTGCGACCGTACGATAGGTCGAGATGGGTACGTGATCAAATTTCGGTCGTGAAATAATGGACTAGAAGTGCATTAAAATTCTTTCAAAGATGGTAATGCGAGGAGTGCGAGGATATCATCGGACATGAAAAAGGCATCTGATCATGTGTGCTATGAGGCACGCTCTAATGAAGTTCTAAGGAGTGTATTACCATGCCAATCCCACCCGATGGAAAGCTTGGTAATGGGAGATAATGGAGAGTTTGAGATTCTTGTTACGAAGAATAGTGACAATACTTCGACCAAACGCCCGAAGAAGTGAGGTTCAGGTTCTCTACTGACACCATTCAACCACGCTGGTAAATCGACGTTTTCAGCGCAGGTTGCTTTGAGGAGCACAAGAACCACGAACATCCAGTGCCAATTATGTTCTCGTTTACTCCAGGACGAAGCGAGAGATGGCAAGTCATGCCCTTCTTTCACAAGACTGTAAATATCAAGATCGAGGAACAATGACTCTTGCACAGATGATCTCCGAAAACGTGGGCGAGAGAAATCAGATAATGTTCGACGCGCATGAATATCAATACGCCCGAGGAGGGAAGCGAATTTATCGTTCGCGTTGAGGACAAAGTCCTTTATCTAATACACCTGCGGTTGGATATTTCATGTTATATTTTCTTGTTGCAAGATTAGTCTTTGCAACATCTTATTTACCATAAAATACCAAAAGTTTTAATGAAAGGGTAAAACCGAGAGTAGTAACCACGTACTGACTGATCAGGTGGTGGCTGGAAGGTTTTATGAGTTGATAAATCCTGCCCTTTCAACCTAAAGTACTGACATCGACCTAATGTAGTGTGGATCTAAGAGGGTATCAGAATAAACGTTACTCGAAGAGATATGAAGAAGTGAAAAAGTAAAGATGACCTTGAGATATCTACCAGAATCCTATGCATCAATTCGACTAATTCTCCCCTTTCTTTCTTGAATCGGGAAATCTATTTCGGAAGTATCTTGGAATTCCCCAATAGATTATATCCTCGCCTTCGAACGTATATGAATACTAGTGAATCTAAGTCCATGATGCAAGCGCATAGATATTGCAGAGATATTCTCTTCGAATAATACCGTCTCTGTTTGTATTTTCAACTTTTCATAAGCCAAGACTGCAATCACATTCTTGTCGATATGATTATTTGTAACAGTGTTCCAATTCGATAAGGCTTCATAATAACCGGTTCAGCGAAAAATGGCATTGTATTTGAGTTGTACTGCCAGTAAAGTTTGCTGGAATTTAAAGGCCTAAAATACTTAGTGGTAGTTAGTAAAATGGCATCTAGAAACTCACATCAGTGAAAATAGTCAATTGGTTGACATTCGAAGTATTAGCAGAAATAATTCCTACAAACCAGTTTATAGCGACTCAAAAGTGATCTCTATAGTTAGATCTTATTAGATCGTTGTTCCAGAAAGAAGTTACTAAGAATGGACAAAGCAATCACTTCGAGTCACCGACAGCAACCAACACTAATGAAAATTTGTAACGAGTGTTGAAACTTCACTTTTCCGAGTTTCTCCAATTTTTCACGATCTTGCGAGGGAGTCTGAGGCACAAGATTGGGAACGTGGAGATGAGCATTTTAAGACATCCTATAAATCACCTGGCTGCTTTGCTGTGCATAACTTGACTTTGCAGGATTATAGATACCTAATCCGATACTATGAAGCGTTCGATACAGGAAAGCTGGATGGCTACGTGCTGTCTTGATAGCCCACAAGTTGATGACTATTCGCTCAAGTGACGCGTGACAAATCAAGGTCTTGTGAGCAGAAAGCTTAATCTTCTAGGTTATACTGTAGATTGGATTTGGGTATACATTGAAGAAATGGAGTAGGAAGTTTTGCCAATCAGAAAGTTCTAACGACCCCACTGTCTTCGACCTCTTTAGGCGAATGTTCATTCACTACAACATTGAGAAATGCGTGAATATCTCATGTTACATCGGAAGTGTGGGATGGAAAATTGCACCGAATTTCTTCTTGCGAAAATTGAGGAAACAGCTGAACACAGGTATTATGGACACGAATCTCAACCTAGACTTAAGCCGTTTCCGCTTTTTGGTTTCCAGTGGCGAGGTAAATGTCGTAGAGACATGTGAAGTCCTCGCCTGTTGTCTAGGAAAATACGGAGAACCACCAAATGTGATCTCTACAGCCTTGTAAGTTAGATATAAAGTTGCTCTTTGGCTCAAATACTACTGGAGGAACGCCAATAAGCTAGACATTCCGCAGTGGTATGACAGAAACCTGTGTTGGATCTATCTATAATCTCGATTGCCCGAGATACGATGTTCAGAATACGCAGCATTTCTGTTCACTTGGCCGGTGCGTACCAGGAATAGAAATGCGAGTTGCAATCCCTAAGGCTGGCGATGAAAGTGTCGAGGCCTCAGCAAACGAAATTGGCCTTCTTGAAGTTCGTGGACCTATCGTATTCAAGTGCTATTTCAACAATAAGTCCGCTACAACAGCTTCTTTCACTCCAGATGGCTAGTTTAGAACGGGAGATCACGCCACGATTGATCGAGCTGGAATGCTCCATCTGGTAGGGAGAATAAACAATACCATGAACATTAATGGTATTAAGCATCTCCCGAACGAGCTAGAGGCTGCCATCGAAGAGTAAGTACGGTTTCTTATCACATCTGCCAATCATGCTCTGTTCAGCTCTCATTATCTCGATAAAGATTGAACCTGAATTTGCGAAAATAAAGGTTTGAAATTAATGGTGTGACACCGAGTTACGCGATATGCTTTTCCTTCCGTCCACTTGGTGCGGAATCAGAGAAAGTCGAAGTTGTGTACTTGCCCTTCTTTGGACCTCAAGATGTCGATGCTCGAATTGCAGCTCGAGATGCCATAATTCAAGTCACAATGTTCCAAACTGGCTCTCGACCTTCAGTTCTGCCATTGAACGATACTTTGCTGCAGAAAACGACACTTGGAAAAATCTCTCGCGCCAATACCAGGACTGCGTTTGAACGTGGTGACTATAAGCAATGCCTGGACTTTGATAAGATGCAGATCGAAATATGTAACTTGTCTTATATATAATAACCTTGGACTGAGAGCGAACGCATTATTCATGAAGTATGTTGCGAGGATCTAGATCGCCACCCACAAGAGTTAGGCGTCAATACACATATTTTTGAGATTGGCATTACCTCCATCCATTTAATCTGATTAAAACAGAAACTTCAGAGCCGCTTTTCCATCCCTGAGATTCCTGTTCGTATAATGATGCAAAATTAGACCGCTCGTGAGTCAGCCACCGCTTTGGAGAATCTCGGTAAACCACGAAACTGTGAACTAATCATGGCACTTCATAATAATGCAAGAAAAGCCTCTCTATGGCTCTTTCGCCCAGGAGTAAGTGATATCTCCCCCATGATCCTGCTGATTCGAAGTATCTTGTACGCATGAAAGCCTAGAGGGAAGATCATGGTATAGTATTCGTATTATGATCAACTGAACGGGATTTCAATAGGATTTTTAGCACAGCTAGTCATCGACGCATCTGGAAGTAAGTAGTATGGTCATTTGTGAACAAGGTACTCATACAGCATAAGTCCTTGACCCTGCAAGCGAGATATTACTACTTATGAATCGATCACGCTCCTGAAAAGCTACTCAGATTCAGGAGTTCTTTATCGTCGAAAAGTCTGCTCGAACAATGTTCTACGTCGGTTTGCCGCAGTTGCTTCAATATCCAGACGAAACAATACTTCGTGAAAATACTCCATGGGTACAGATATGGATTCATTCCGTTCAATAGCCTTTAGTGCTTCTTGCTGAACAACATAATCAGAATCATCAACTTCAAGCCATGAGGTCTCCAGCCACAGCACGACGAAGCCGAAGAGATTTCTAGGCTTCTAGCTCTGATACAGACTCAGCCTCGAGCTCTTCGTCTAGTTCAGCTAATGATGAGGATGTGGACATGCTCAAGGTATTCATCTCTTTGTTGGCTGCCGCTAGTTTGAAATATTACTTTTAGGACCAGAAAGCCATATTTCTTCGATTGAGACTAATTCAAAATATCGTTTTTAAGACCGGATTGACACTTTCCTCCAAGACCTACTTGGTAGATTCTCATTTCGAGGCCAGAATAATATATCCTGACATTCAAAGACTGTGATAATAACACAGTATATACTTGAGACCTGGATAACATAAAAAATAATAAAGCGAGACCGGAACAATACCATAACGCCCTAAATAGCATTTATATTGAACTTAATGGTTTATAGGTAGGGGAGCTCAGCCTAATCAGAATTAGCACTGCCAATTTGAATCAAGTGTAGTGCGTATTCTATCAAAAGCTATCTATGTATGTACAATAGAGTTGACTATAGTAATCGTTTTGATTACCTAATACGCCTAATGCTCTCAGCGCGCTTTCTACAACTAAACATCGAGCATCGAACTTCATCCCACCAGCACATATCCCACCCAACCAACATCTTCTCCCAATTCTTCACCTCCAACTATGTAAATTCCAAGAAAGTTGGAGATGAATATTCCCATCTCATCCCCTCCCTTTAGATCAATATGCGAAAAGCCGAAGATTCGCCTAGTAGTTAGTTTTAGGGTCTCTCCTATTCACTACTGTGTGAAACTTATTTCTTTCTAGACTAAAATATTAGAAAGTCACTAGAGATTTGGTAACCATTGCACATCATGGACAATTTGTTCTCTAAACTTAGTGATTGTAAAAGTAAGTTCGTAAATTACATCCCTCTTGTATCCCAAATAAATACATCTATCAAAAACTACTCGCATCTCATCAAATCAATAAATACAAAAATATAATAACCAACCACAAACCTATAATTTCGCCCTCTCAATCTCCTCCCTAGCTCTTCCATCTCCTCTCCCCTTAATCTCAAAGTACTCTCTAACTTTCCCTCTCGCAACCTCAATTACACTCTCATCTTCAATCGTCGCCGGAACATTAACACTCTTCCCCCCCTCACCATGATATTCATTTTCCAACAATTCCCTCAAAACCCTCCTCAAAGTTTTGCCTAGAAACCCATCTCGTCAGTCACATTCAAACTTCACAACCCATCCCCTTTCCAACTCTAAGACGAGAAAAACTCACCACTTCGTGTTTTAGGAATCATATTTCTACCCTGAATAATTCCTCCTAGACTAGCAATCGCCCCGATTTGTTTCCTCACCAGCCCCTGGATTTCTTTCTCCAAGTCTGCATGTGGAATTGCGGATGCGGGATGAGTAGGCGTGGAAAGTGTTATGAATGCAAATGGCATATGTCCTTTGAGAGGATCAGGGATACCGACTACGCAGCATTCGGTTATGAGGGGATGTGTTGAGATTGCTTGTTCGATTGCACCTTTGTGGTATTAGCTTTGTTGATATGAATATTTTGATGGTAAGTGAGTATATTCGTGAAAGCGAAAAGAAAACAATTGACAGAGGCAAGATGAGCGATCGAAAGAAACAAGAGACAAACCAGTGCTAAAACGATGAGCTGCCACATTGATAATATCATCACTTCGACTCATTACACTAACCCAACCTCCTTCATCTATAACACCCGCATCTCCCGTATCAATCCATTTCCCATCAAACCGCTTCATATATCCCTTATAAAATCTTTCTTCATCATTCCATAACGTTCTAAATCCTGTTGGTGCTAGAGGAATCCCAAGAACGATATTACCCATTGTCCCACGTGGAACTTCCTTGCCGTTATCATCTACGATGCGGACATCGAATCCCGGGAGAGGTTTACCAGCACTCCCAGGCTTAATAGGAAGGACTGGTGTGGTTTCATGGGTATAAGTACGGGATAATGCGCTTTGAGGCGAGAGTGCAATTCCGGTCATAGGACTTCCTGATTCCGATGACCACCAATTATCAATTACATTAGCACCCTTTGCCGCATATTTTGTGAGAAGCTCTTGATACATGTTGACGATACTCGGTTCACTTCTTTCGCCAGCAAGGAATAACGCACGGAAATTCTGAAGTCCACCCTTTTCTCCAATTTCCCTGAATAATTTATTTTCCGGATCGTCGCGACGGATAGCTCGAAGAGCTGTTGGTGCTGTAAAAAGGGTATTGACTTTATATTCATCGATGATCCTCCAAAATGTTCCCGCATTCGGTGTTCCTACTGGTTTTCCCTCAAAGAGGACAGTCGTGGCACCAGCTAAGAGCGGTGCGTATAAAATATATGAGTGACCAACTACCCACCCAATATCGGATGCGCAAAATATTACATCTCCAGGTCCATGAATACCAAATATATAACGAATAGATAGGTTTAAACCGACCGCGTGACAACCCGCTTCTCGTAACACACCTTTAGGTAGACCGGTTGTTCCAGATGTATAGATGATATAGAGACCATCTGTACTCTTTATAGGTACGCAATCTGCTTTGACTCCTCTGGAACCAGCACTTTTGACTAATCTTTGCCAATTCCTCTCGCCGTTTTCCTTATTGGGATTCTCCCATCGTAGTTGTTCGCGTTGCCATATAATAGTTTTATTGGGTTTATGAGACGAGAGGGCAATGGCTTCTCGGATAAATGGTTGGTATGATAGAGGAGGTTTTGCTCCATCAATTCCACAAGAGGCTGTGAGAATAGCTACTGGCTTAGAGGCTTCAATTCGTTGCGCCAAGCTTGCTGGAGCAAATCCTCCAAATACGACGGCATGAATAGCACCGAGACGAGATATTGCGAGGGTACCTATGAGAGCTGCGGGAATCATGGGCACTGTACTTGATTAGCTACGGTTTCTTCGAATAAATCAATTTCATATGTAAATCCTTAAAACTCACTGTAAACCAAAACTACATCCCCCTTCCCTACCCCCTCCTCTCTCAAAACCCCCGCGAAAACTTCCACCTCCTTCAACAAATTTTTATAGCTAATCTTCTCCTTACATCCTGTAACAGGACTATCCCATATAATCGCCGTTTCTTCCCCATTTCCTGCCAAAACATGTCTATCCACACAGTTGTAACAAGTATTTATTTCTCCATCCCCAAACCATTCCCAATGTTTATGCGAAGTACCTGATTTCAACGTCTTTGTTTTCACAGTTAGGATCTGGGCTGGTGGCTTATGCCAGTGCAAATGGGAAGCTTGTTTCGCCCAGAAGGATTGGGGATCAGAGAGAGATTGAGATTGCACTTCGTCTTGGGGATGGAGGGGCATTTTTGTCTGCGGATTGATTGATTAGATATTAATTTGATGGTATAGGGAACTGAGAATTAATGGAGATATACTGACGATTGAATGTGTGGTTGTCGTATTTCTGATCTCAAGCTACACGAACTCTATCCCATGTAAGATTACCTAGGTATCGTCTGATACACTCTCAAATATTGTACGAATTTATCTCAAATAACTAAACCACTTTGAGCAATTCAAAGTCAAGAATCGCAGTATCGAACAAAAGTCTCCCGTAAATCAACAAGTCGAGTATCGAGATTAAAACTGCGAGCTGAAAGAAAAAGAAAATATAAAGTGACATCAGAAACAAAACAAAACATACTTATCTCACTCATTCTTACATACACACGTAAATCTCACATCCTACCTACCACTTACTTCTCATCTCGGTCTCGCAACGGATAACATCGGACTGATGGCTATACCTGCAAGTAGCTTAGTTAATATGCTGCTTATAGGGGAGAATAGTAAATCAATGATCATTGCTCCCCGGCCGAGTGAGATTTCGTAGATCCCCGCATCTAAGCTCTGAACTCTAATAGCCGAATTAGCTTTCCCCATTAACTTCTAAGCTCGGTCCAAGGCTTAATTCTGGATGAGTGGATGCTGATGAGTCAGCAATGATTTATTTCATTTTTCAAAAAGGGATCTAGCTCAAGTTTATTATGTATTTTGGTAAGGATTCATAGCAAAGCTCTCTTTTCAACTCTCGCAAGTGAAAATTAAGTAGTTAATTAGGTGAATAGATACATATGTATCTATTTATTAGGCTGCGTCTCTTATTGGTAAACGGAATGATAACCAATATTTCAGCTGGTATCTAGCTTGGCGCCCATTCAACAAAAACTGGCGTAAGACAAAACTACTTCCAAGGGAAGCGAATAGAAAAATCACAAAGTTGATCTATGCATTGTATTACATATTATAGGAGAATAAGATCAATGTACATTTATTTTATGTAGAGATTGTATAATACTTTTCTCTATCGAGACTCTCACAATACCATCTCACGTGTATTGATCTATCTACCTTCCCTCCCACCTTCTTCCCACCTTCCCCAGCACCATATCTTACCTATCCTCTCTCGTAACATTCCACTTCAACCCTCTCCACTGCTCTCCACACCTCCCTCCATATTCCACGAAAACACATTCTCCGACCCCCAACTTTTAGAATAGAACAGGGAGTACTGTAAACATCCCATGCAAAGCCGTAGCTAAAAAAACGAAAGTCAAGAAAGGGGTATCCGACTATCCTCCCACTTCAATACAAAGCGCGGAGGATATCCAACAAAAATTGTAGTGCCTATCAAAAACAGAAAAGACAAAAGTAGCTAAGTACGAGAAAGTAGAAAAGAGAAAAAGGAAAAAAGCCTGCTGGCTAGCAGAATATTGTAGAATATACAAAAACATTACTGGTAAATGTATCCCATCGATATCAATCGAGGCGATGTCTGTTGTGTTGGCGCGAGCCTGATGTTCCCACTTCTTGGACAAAGAAATTCCCCGGCTCCAGAAATGGCCATTTCCTTCCTGCCATAATCTCCTGATGCTCCTCAAGGTTCCAACTGGTTTCCCCATGCCAAGCCTTGTGAAGTTCATCCCTTTCCACCACCCATCCAACCCACCAGACCAAGCCGTTCCTACCCCATCCCATCCCAAACTCAAGAAAATGTAATGAATGTATAGGTAGTATCACTTTAAAAAATACAACCCGATAGTGTGATTTGCCCGTGTGAGTGACAAGATTAAAAATTGCTGAAAGGATCCTCTCTAGAGTTTCTTCCATGTCTTTCCGATCTTTCTTCTAACTCATGATGGCCATATTCTTCTTCTCCAGCAGTTCTACTTCCGCTGTACCAATCTTCAATTGCTCTCCCACCAAAACCACCTCGACTAACACCAAAAGATTCTTTGTTTCTATTTCTTCTGCTTCCATCTCTGCTGCGTCGACGCTGCAAACTGATCATATCCATTTCGTCTTGTTCTTCGGGAAAATCATCAAATCTCGTAACACCCAGTGGAGAAATAAAAGCTTCCATTCGCATCGTTCCTACTGCATCGAAGAAGTTATTTACAACAGCTCCTGGGCGTGCACTGGCATCAGAAGTGCGAACAGATGAGCGGCTACTAGGTCCATTGTATCCTGTCACCGAAGAAGGCTGAGAATAAGAACTTTGGTTCTCGGAGGAGCCTGTTGTTCTATCACTCATACCCGCAGTACTATTGGTAGGTACATGACCAGCACTGAAACCTCTGAAAGAAAGAGGAGGTGGTATATGTGAGCCAGTATTACTACGCTTCCTGCCATGACCACCCATTCCTCTTTCGGAAAAACGAGGGACGAAGGGTGCCTCTGCAGGATCAGAGAGTACCGAGTGTGAATTCGTATGAAATGATTCATTGTCGCGAACGCTCGTGTTTGTATCGGTTTGTTGAGAAGATGAATAATTTGATGCGGGGCCAGTACGATTGAAAGCATTTTTCCCCTTGGCAACCTTGATCGAGTCTCGAATCTTGTGAGTTTTCTGCATACGACCGGGCTTCTGGAAGTCGGGTAATGGAGGAGCTTTGGCAGACAAGGTTTGGACAGGACGGGGTGTGATAACATCGGGTACAGCCTGTGACGAATGTGCGAGGAATGATAGAGCAGTAAGCCAGACATAGTGTCGTTCTCTTGAAATAGCAGTGAACTTAAGGGCACGTGCTGGTGTAAGGATTAGTATTGAACGATCAAAGACTCCTCCAGATCCCTTTGGTGGTGCATTGTCATCTTTGACATCCAACACGGATTGAATTGTTACTATGAAAGTTAGTATGATTAGAGAACTGAATGTTTTTAAACTTACGTTTCCTTCCAGTTTTACCCAACAGTGCAGATCCAGACGTGGGCTGTTTACTGCTCCACATGACAGCACGCTCGTAAGGTGCGAGCCAAACCCATCGTTTGTGACGAGCGCCGTTAGTAGCATTGTCCCCATCTTGATCAGACATTCCGAAGGACTTGCGTCTTCTAACGTATTTGAACATCCACTCTCCAACCATTGTTTGGGCAATAGCATCTACTACAGACGTAGCTTGATTGGCACTTTGGTTATCAGTAATAACCGATGATCCAGCAGTGTTCGTAGTGAACGCGGTGTTTGTGGTCGATAATTGCTGTCTATGCATTCTATAACGACCGCTACCATTATCCCTCGAAAACCGCGGCGTGGTGATATCGTTATTGGGGAGTGGTGGCAAGCCAGGACTCTCGGGATCTAGAGTTGGTGACATGGGCGGTGATCTGCTTTCAGAACGTCGTGGAGCACGCCTACCCCTTGTGATAGCAGCAGCGGATCGAACTTTCCTAACACTGCCAGTTCGGCTAAGACTACCAGCTCGATTAATACTACCGGCTCTTATAGGCTTTGATCCTCGGCCGTGGCTAGGACTTCTATTTCTATTGCTATCGCTGGGTGCGCTAGCAGCATTTCCAGGTCTGCGAGAGCTCGCTCTAGTAGGTATCGGAAATGGGGGTGCAACCTCTTCGGACGCTCCAGAGCTACCGGGTCGGGGACGGTGAGCATTCACACCACTTTGAATAAGAGCCGAACGATGCAATTGAGCTGACTTAGCTATTGAAGTGATCGGTAAAGGATGACCAAGAGTCCGAGCGGCTTTGGCGGACGTCCTAGGCGGCAGTTCCAATATTTCTTCGTCGAATTGATCATCTGCTTCATTGTCTAAATTGGAAGGAACCTTGATAGATAAAATATTACGAATTTCCGTCTTTTGTGGAAATGATCTTGGAACTTGTGACATTTTCTCAACTTCCTTCTTTGTTGCGCTTGGAGCGGAAAGTGCGGTTCTGAAGTCATTATCGCTAACATCACCATCATCAAACTCATCAACCTCATCAGAACTTGCACCATCAAAGCCTGCGAAGAGACTGCTGATGCGATGAGGTCTTCTAATCTGTCCTCTGTCCTTTGCCAGAGGCCCATCGTCATTATTACCTGGATAAGCATCTCGTGTCTCCATTACAGGTGGCGATGATGGGAGCGTTGTTATACTGCGTTGACTGCTTTGGCGACGGGGATTCTTGGGAGGAAGTGTATCTGGAATTGGCGAGTACTGAAGACCATCGGGTTTCAAATCGGGTGATGGAGGGCCAGACGATATGATAGATGGGTGAAGATAAGCTGGAAGGTTATTCAAGCGTTGAGCGACCCTGATCTCTTCCGTTTGTACAGCCATCGATCTTGTTGAAATGGGTGCTGAAATTGAAACTTGACAGCCTACATCTTTCGAGAACTGCGGCAACAAAGACTCACGAGGTGTTGCTGGAGCTGATGAAGGTGGATGCAATTGAATTAATGGAATGGGTATCTTTGGTGGGATACGTTTTGGGGAAGTTGGTGATGTGTCGCGGGTTTCGGTTTCAGCTTCTGTTTGTGTGGACGTAGATGTCATCTTATTCTCCTCTTTAACAGGCATAAATTGGGAAGGTGGTGGTGGTGGTGGTGCTCGTGTTGGAGAAACTGGTGTTCGTGGGGGGCTGAGTGGTTCGTCTACAGTCTGTGATGCCGCAGATATCATAGGAGAACTCTTAGGAGGCTCAATAACCAAAGGAGGATTTGTATACACACGCTTTCTTCGCTGATTCGCTCCAACCTCCCAGTCTTTACTCGATACCTCAGTTGAAGGCTGTTCCTCAAATTTGTGAGAAATTTCTGGCTCAGGTAGCGCTGTTGGCTCAATAACAGAAACTATCTCAATTACTGGCGAAAGTTTTGGGGATGGTGGAGGAGAGTACTGGATGCCAGTGTCGACGTATTGAAATGTTGGTTTAGGTGCAGCCTCATCATCCTCTGAGATACCTCCTTCTAACCTCTCGAGAACGGTTTGGTTGAGTAATGATTTACCTCTGGTAATGCTTCCAGGTCGTTTCATACTGTCGCCGCTTTGGTTCCTACGGTGAGTGCGGAATAAGATACTTTC